ATAGCATCATTCCGGGGTTCAGGCGGCCCTTGCGCGCCACGTCAGCAGGGTCCACGTCGACGACGCCCACCTCGCTGGCCATGATGACGCGGCCGCTGTGCGTCACGTAGTAGCGGCCGGGACGCAGACCGTTGCGATCAAGAGTCGCACCCACGTACTTGCCGTCGGAAACTGCAGCATGGGGGATGGAATGGGGGGATAGGGAGGAGGTTGGAGGAGAGGTTCGAATGGAAAACCAGCTCTTGTCATGGAGGCAGAAGGTAATGAGAGCAGGGAAATAAACCAGTAGAACACAGGCTATGAGAGCGGGCAATCCTAGGTGATTAGACGGTGTGGGCATTGAGAGGTATAGGGTAGCTTACAGGCGATGAGGGCGGGCCCATCCCAGGGCTCCATGAGTGCGGAAAGGTACTCATAGAGATGCTCACACAGGCAACGAGAGAGGTGAGGGACTCACAGGCGATGAGAGCAGGGCCATCCCAGGGCTCCATGAGTGCGGAAAGGTACTCATAGAGATGCTCACACAGGCAACGAGAGAGGTGAGGGACTCACAGGCGATGAGTGCAGGGCCGTCCCAGGGCTCCATGAGCGCGGAGAGGTACTCATAGAGATGCTCACACAGGTAACGAGAGAGGTGAGGGACTCACAGGCGATGAGAGCAGGTCCGTCCCAGGGCTCCATGAGCGCGGAGAGGTACTCATAGAGATGCTCACACAGGTAACGAGAGAGGTGAGGGACTCACAGGCGATGAGAGCAGGTCCGTCCCAGGGCTCCATGAGCGCGGAGAGGTACTCATAGAGCGCCTTCTTCTCGGGGTACATGTTCTTGTCGTTCTGCCACGCCTCGGGAATCATCATCATGACCGCCTCGGGCAGCGTGCGGCCGGCGCGCACCAGCATCTCGAGCACGCCGTCGAACGCGCCCGAGTCGGACGAGTTGGCGTCGATGACGGGCAGCACGGCGTCCAGCTCCTCCTTGGAAATGCCGAGCCCCGGGCACTTCATCAGCCCCTCGCGCGCGCGCATCCTGCGGCGGGGGAGATGGTGAAGTGGTGGTGTTGGTTAGATCCTGAGAACCCACGAGCCTTTTTCGAGCTGCTCGTTTCTGGACCTAGTGTGCGACAGACCCAGCGTGCGACAGAACCAGCGAGCGACAGAACCAGCGTGCGACAGAATCAGCGTGTGACAGACACGGTGTGCAACAACAGGCGCAGCGACTGACCAGTTGACGTTGCCCTGCAGCGTGTTGATCTCGCCGTTGTGCCCCAGAATGCGCATCGGTTGCGCGCGCTCCCAGCTCGGGAAAGTGTTCGTTGAGAACCGCGAGTGCACCTGGTAAAGAGAGAGGGAGAGGGGGAATGCGCGGTTAGTGAGGGAGGAAACGGCGCAACGTATTGCTGGAAGCGACAAATCTAGCCAGACCCAGCGACAAAGCTGGGGTGAATTCAGTGCGAACAAACAGGAAGGCATGGGGCCGCGCGGGGGGACGAGCGAGAGAGCGGGCGAACGGGAGAAAGTGGATGGGCAACTCACGAGGCCCATGTAAGAGGTGAAGCGAGCGTCGTCGAGGTCGGCGTGGTAGTAGCCCTGCAGCTGCTCCGGCTTCAGCTGCCCCTTGTAGACAATCGTCCTGCATTGCCCCAAACATGCACGTCCACGCACCCGCACGTACACGGGAAAGACGTGTCAAGCACTAGGACAGCATGGTCGCCTTGCACAATCACTTTTGTTTCCTCATATTTTCATCGGATCTATGCTGTTTCCTCACACGTGCTCAGACTGTTGCGTAAATGCCAACTCGGTGACCCGGTGGAAAGCCAATCCTTTTCTTGAAAACAAAGAAACTCTCATTGTGAAAATGGTTATCGACAAGCCAACAAGAAAAAAGTGGAAGGCCCATGGGACAAACAGTCCGATGGACCAAGCGAAAGGATGAATGGACGAAGAGACCAAGGGATCAACGAACCTGGTGGAGAGCGAGCAAATGTAGAAGTCGCGGGTGCCGCCGACCTTGAGGTTGAGCGCCTCACGAACGGCCTTCATGGCAGTGCGGCGCAGCAGCCACATCTGCTGCTCGGCCTCGAGGTGCGAGTCCTTGTTGACGAGCAGGAAGACCTGCTCCACGATGGGCTCCGTGTCCAGCGCCGCCTTGCCCAGATCCGCGTTGTCCGTTAACACGCGCCGCCACCCCAGCACCTTGCACCCCATCTCCTCCGCCACCTGCGGCGCGAGATCGCCAGAAAGGATCACCAAAACGGATCACCACCATGAAGGACAAACAAACCACCAACAGGGGGGGTCAGAGTCCAGCGAAACGAAAGGAAGTTCGGTCATGAACGATAAGTTAAGGCGAGCGTTTGAGAACATGCGCAAGAGAAATTTGGAGTGGTGGCACGACGCGGCTGGGGTGTGGAGTGCAGAGCCGAACCTTGTTGAACGCCTCCTTGCCGCGGTTCCTGCGCTTCTTGTCCGTGGGGAGGAAGCACATTCCCACGCCGTACTCCCCCAGCGCCGGGAGAGTCACGCCAGCATCCACCTTGGCAACCTGCACAGTAAGAAAAAGGATTAATCAAAACAAACAAACGAACGACGACGCACCGTGAGTTTAGGAAACAATCCGTCGAACAAATCTATCGAGAAAGGGACAAGATGGAAGCAGGAAAATGCAGCTGCCATAAATGCAGCCGAACATATCCTAAAGCTCGAATCCAGAGACGAGGAGGCTGGGGTGACGGCAGTCACCTTGACGAAAAAGTCGTGCGGCAGAGCCACCATGATACCGGCGCCGTCACCCGTGTTGACCTCGCAACCGCACGCACCACGATGCGCCATGCGGATAAGCATCTCGAGCGCGTCAGTCACCTGGAAAGAAACACAACCCACAATATCGAGGTAAGCTACAACGGAGCTGTATTGAATACAGAAGGACGCAGCCGCGTGCTGTGTTAAAATTTCCCGTAATTTGGGTAAAAACATATGCAATCGAGGCTAGCTAGAATGCTACCGAACGATCTGTTTTTATCTCAGCAGGCTTGCGGACGAGAGTATCTGAATCTGGATAGACGTTCGAGAAGGGTTGTGAGCAGCTTACAGTCTTGCGCGTGGGGATCTTGGAGAGCTCGGCAACGAAGCCGACACCACAGGCGTCGCTGTCCAATGCAGGGTCGTACAGGCCCATGGGCTCCTGGGGAACCTTAGAGAACTCGGCCGTCGTCACGAGGCGTCGCACGGGGTCGTTGGAGGCCTTGCGCGACATAGCAGGGGATCGCACGGACTGCTTCGACGACGGGAGGCTGGCGGTGCTCTTGAGGCCATTGAACTTGAGAAACGCACCGCGCGGTTGGAAAGGGGTAGAGGAGTCCTGCTGCTGGCGGACAGAGCCTGACACTGCCGCTGACGGCAGCGACAGCGACAGCGCACGGACAGCCGCCATTGCTACTGCTTAGCTCTTACGAACCAAAAAGAGAAACCCTATAACAGGTCGTGAGCACATGCAAAACACACCAAGTTGTGAAACCTGTTGGGTCCTCTTCGAAAAAGCTTCTTCAAAAGAGAAGCTCACAGATAAGAGCGAGAATGAGAGCAACAGGATTGAGAGTCAGAACATCTAAACATCCACATCCAACTTCCCTCCCTCGTATCTCCAAGCTGTTTCGCCTCACCAGTGGGTGGATGGATTCACTGCAGCACCAAACCTCTAGGCTCGTTGTGGGCTTTCTCTAGGGCCAATCCATCCGTCCATCCTCCAGACTTTCCATCATCCTACCATCCATCCATCCATAACCATTCATCCACGGATTCCATGCTCCAAGCAGCCAAACCCCGAGTTTGGGGTTTTTTTCACCCTCTTACTATGTGCCACCTCGTCCCGTGCGTGTGGCATGTGGTTCGGCAGGCAGCACAGCACTTCCTGCACCCAGCCCAAACATGGTCCCTGCCCCAAGAGGGAGACTTCGAATCTGTTCGGGCAAACATGTTCCTTGACTTGAGCCAAGTGGCTCGGGCTAGGTCTGGCTCAGCGGCGCAGATGCGGCTTGAGTGGAAATCATGCGATTGGGCGAAAGCTGCCTAGCTTTCGCTTCTGACGCGTTGTCCGAATATCATGCGTGCCGAACCTCATGTCCACCAATACGAACTGTTTGTGGCTCCTCCGAAGCCGTTGAGACTCACTTTCCGTTGGAGATCGCTCACGCATGCCACCCTGAACATCTCCGTGGATCTGGTTCGGCTTGGGCAGGTCCGATGGGTGAAGCTTGGCGGGATGTGTGTATCTATCTTTGCCTACTCCAGCTGGGAGGCTTCGCAGTCGCGGATTGGTGAGCCGCAATGGAAAAGTTCAGTTCCACATCGGCATTCTGTCAACGTGTCTGACGCTCACTCGGCAAATTCCGAGCTGGGCCAGCACGGGCTCATCTTCAGCCAACCAGACTCCCGTATTCATACTCTTTACTGGAGACGGATGACTGGAATGGCATTTTCCCGATGGTTGTTTCATGTTTATGCTAGGACGTCAACCGTCTGTATTCCATCTGCCTAACACACATCTAGTTTGCGGTGGGGAGGGGAGTTCACATTTCAAAGCGTCCACCAAGCTAGGAAAGCAGAAGAGAAGAGGAATGACTGGGATACAACACGTTATTTGACTGGAACACAGGCAGGAGCTGAGTGATAGTTGGTCTCTCTTGGATCACAGGTTGTTACAGTTGTACCGAGGAGTAGTGATCATTGTGCAACATTTCATGGCTTTGCATCACAACGCGGTATCCATTCCAATTCGTTGCTTTGGTTGCTCAGTTTACCTTCACTCACAAATACAGTGTATGGTCGTATCGACGTCATCATCTCAACCACCTGCGACTCCTGCATTCCATGGCAACTGGCACTGACACGACTACCTAGTCAGAACCGCAAGCAAAGACCAAGAAATCAAACCCACAGAACTACAATGAGAAGCTTTATAACATCGCAGTGTTGAACTGTATGTAGGCTAAAGTACACCGCTCAGCCAACCAGCACCTTGGTTTCATCCAAGAACTTGTAAGTCGGCACTTCCAGGTTGGTGGGAGCCGGTCCTTTGCGAATACGCCCTGAGATGTCATAGTGCGACCCGTGGCACGGGCAGAACCACCCGCCGTAATCCCCCGCATTCGGCAGCGGCACACACCCCAGATGTGTGCACACGCCAATCACAACCAGCCACTCTGGATTCGGCGCCCGGGCCGAATCAGGCTCGGGGTCCCGAAGCTCCGAGAGGTTCACGTCATTGGCCTTCGCCACGTCAGCAGGCGTGCGGCGGCGGATGAACACCGGCTTCCCGCGCCACTTTACGGTAACCGTGTTACCAGGCTCGATGTTCCCAAGGTCCACTTCGAGCGAAGCCAACGCAAGCACATCCTTGCTCGCGCTCATACTGAGAATGAATTTCAGCACGAGCAGGCGGAGAGCAGACGCGTAGATGAATCGGCCGCCCGTGAGGACGAGGTAGGTGAAAGCACGCTTGGAAGGGTCCCCGGGCGGCAGGCGCTCGTGGATGGTGGTGTCGTAGGTGATGGTGGCGGAGGGGGTTTTCAGGGCGAGCTCCGTGGCGGAGATGGGCGGAGCTGTGGTGAGTGCTGCATCCGCTGCAAAGCCTGTGAGGGGGGAGGGGAGGGGTGGGAAAGGGGAAGCACCCGAGGGAAATACTGGGTTGTATGGTCAAGACACGGCAGGCGCTCGTGGATGGTGGTGTCGTAGGTGATGGTGGCGGAGGGGGTTTTCAGGGCGAGCTCCGGTGGGCTGGCTGGTGGTCAGTGCTGCATTGGCAGCAAAGCCTGTGAGGGGGGAGGAAAGGGGTGGGAGGGACGGAGCATCTAAGGGGGGAGAGGAGTGGCGTGAGGGACAGAGCATAACCGTAGAGATCTGGTGGGTGGCTTGGTCGTTGATTATGGGAGGGGCAGGCGTCTTGTTAGCGAGCTCTGGTGGATGGGAAGATGCAGGGGTGGATGGGGGCGGGCAAATCTGTGTCCACAGCGAAACCTGGCAGGGATCAGGGGAAGGTCAACGGAAGACTGAGAGGAGGGTTGGTGAATGGGAGGGTTAGTGCAGGGATGCGACGGGTGGGCAGGGATGGGAAGGATGGGCGTGGGGATAAGAGCGGAGATGCGAGTACGGATGGAAGTGTGGCAGCGGAAGGTTAAAAAAGGCGAAACGCGACAGATGCGAGGATTGAAACAGCATTCGAGGCTCGAGAGGCTTGAAAGGCACGAGAGGCTTGACAGCCTTGGAAAGGTTGAGGGGCATTCAGTTTGTGAGGGGAGGAGATGACAAAATTACGAGGAGGAACAGGGAGGAACGAAAAAACAAGCGTCAGGAGAATGAATGAAGAGGCAAGAGAGGATCTAGACGAGGGAATGGAATGTGGGACGAAGGAAACGAGGAAAAAACTCGTCTGATGTATTTTAACAGAAAATGCAGGAGCTGGCACTGACGCAACATGCGCCAGCTAGTCAGCCCATCTGAGAGCACCTAGACACTCAGATAAGCTTTCCCATGGCCCATCTAAGTGCCTCGTGCGCAAACAATCAGACACGTAAACGCTCGCGTGTGCCATGGATGTGTGAAGGTTGGCAAAAGGGAAGACGAAAGACACAGGAAGAAAACAAGGGAAAGGGGAACAGGACAAGGATTTCCGACGTCGATAGATCGTACGACGACAGCCGTGCTACGAATCTAGCGATTCGACATAAAAAAACATCAGCCATTAAGCGGAAACCGTGACCTTGATGGCGTAGGTTCTTTAAAAAACACTGACAACAATCGTCCACCTAAGTTGTTTCTGTACGAATCAGTTGAATCCACTTGCACGGCAGACAACGCAAAATGAAGCCCCAAGTGCTTCTGAGCTGGCAAATAAGGAAACCCTAACCGCGGCTGCACAAGCTGAACAGCCGTTTCATCGACTCTCGCAAAAACGAACCTCGGGAGAAGCAGAAATGGGGTGGCGATGGGATCGCTGCGGGCGATTCGGTAATAGAGGATGGAACGGGCGTGAAAGGCGGTGACGACAAGATCGCATGGCGGTCGGCGATGGGAACGGTTGCGATTGATCGCAGCAGTGCCGGAGACCGCGCGATCCCGAGATCCGCGGCCTTGCGGCCGAGATGGCGCGACAACATGGCGCTACCTCGTATCAGATGCGCGTGTGGGAGCAGATGCGACGGTTTAGGAGGCACTGACACGAACCTCCTAAAGATGACGTACCACGGAGGAGCAACAGCCTGGGCTGGATGGCTATGGAGGGGGGGGTGGGCAGGGTGTACCTTTGTACTCGTTATGAGCTTCGGTTCGAATTTGTGCTTCTGCGCACCTTTGTCATATTCGATAAAGACGACCTTCTCAGTCAGAGATTGTTGGCATTATAACCTGTTTTTTTATACCAGACATAATTATGTGATGTGTCTGATTTGACAGAAGAGGGAAAGTACGAAACACAGTATAACGGAACCATGTGCACTCTGCTTTGCTTTATTCTTCCGAAGGCTTTGATGCTTCTCAATTTCAACTACCGCGCGAATCAGCTAAAGCTGGTGTCTGTTTTTGTTGCGATCAAAAGGGATCGTAACCAGGATCACCTCAGGAAGGTTCGCACAACTCTAGTGAAGTGGTGGTGGGCCCTTGACCTCAATAGCAGAGTGAATGTAGATGCTTGAGATAATGAAAACATGCAGTACAAGGAATATAAATATGAGTACAAGGGAATTCGAAACGACCTAACTAGCCATGTACTCTAAGGGGTACATTCCCTTATTGCAGCGAAACCCAACCGTGCGACTCCGGGTGGTTACGTAACTGTTCGGGCAGAATCCTCGCCACTGCTGCTGTCTGATGCTGTCTGCCCGACGGTCCAGATGCTCTTCGTAACCGTCTGTCCCTTCGCGTTTCTTCTGCCTTTTCGTCTTCACTCTCGATAGTGCGTGCTTCGGCTTTGCTACGGTGAGGAGTGCACAATAGTGTTTTTCATTAACCACTATTCGTAATACCCCCCTTCACTCCTGGCCGTAGCGAGCATTGACCCGCTTGACTACTCCGCTGAGTTCGGAGCAGTGCTGGTACTGCTGACGCGGCAGTTTCTTCGTAAGGAAATCTGTTGCCATGTCACCCGTTGGGCAGTATGTCAGGTCAACTTTGCCCTTGTCAACTTCGTCCTTGACGAAGAAGTACCGCAGCGCGATGTGCTTGGTGCGGTTGACGAAGCCAGGTTTGTTCGCGATCCTGATCGCGCTCTGATTGTCGCAGTGCAGGCGAAAGTTCGTTGAGGCCGGAATTTTCGCTTCCTGCAGCAGTTCCTGAAGGCAGAGACCTTCGCGAACAGCTGCTGTTGCTGCGATAAATTCAGCTTCCGCCGATGACAGGGCAACCAACTCCTGCTTCTGGGAGTTCCAGGAGATGGGGCCGCTGGGCTCGAGGCGGAAGAGGAACCCTGTCCTGGACCGTCGGTTGTCAGGATCAGCGGCGTGATCGGCATCCGCGTAGCCAACGAGGCTGAAGGATGTGGTTGGGATGGTGGAGTAACTGAGCCCGACATTGGGTGTGGAGATGAAGAATTGAAGGGCTCGCTGAAGATTTGAGAGATTTTCAGCCGTTGGTTTGCGTGAGTACTGAGCCAACTGGCTCGCAATGTAGGAGAGGTCGGGCCTGCAGGTGACGGATGCGAAAAGCAGGCATCCCAACTGCTGCTGGTAAGTGTGGAGCCCAGCAGGGGACAGGGCTTTGTTGTCAGCCTTGTGGTTGGGTCCTGGAATGCGGTAAGGGGTGGAGAGTGGTGCAGGCGCAATGTTGAAGCGCTTGCTAAGCTCCTCCGCATACTTCGCTGCTGAGAGGTGAATGGCTTCCGGCGAGTAGGTGATGTTGAGTCCGAGAAACTGCTTCACGTCATGATTGCAGGTGATGTCGACGCGCCCTGCGAGGCTTTTTTCAAACTGCTCGAGCAGTTCGTTGCTTGAGCCTGTGTAGAGGAGGTCGTCGACGTAGACCGTGAGTAGGAGGTATTCGCCGCGGAAATCGCGGCGATACATCCCAGGATCGTGAGGCAGCTGCTTGAATCCAATTTCAAGCAGTATGTTGTGCAGGTACTGCTGCCAGAGCCTTGGTGCCTGTTTGATCCCGTAGAGGGACTTGCGCAGCTGACAAACGCGTGGGTCTCTGTCGCCGTAAGTGTGTGGCTGTTGTCAAACATTATATGTTTAAATTGTGTAGGCTATAGTGGGTTTAGCCTTAGGGGGTACAACTTTGTTAGGGTTTCCTACTTGTATCCCCCTCCTACCTAGTTTCACCCATTCTCGTTCACCTCTACTTTACAACATGGTATCAGAGCGTAGTGGTACGCCAGTTGGGGCTGTCGGGGTGGCCGTAGTGGTAGTCGCTCTGGAGTGCGTCGTTCGGGAGCTTCTGGTAGTGGACAGGTGCAGCTGCCGTGTCCTGTGAGTGAGGCTGCCGCTCTAGGTGCTAGTGCGTCTGCTACCCCAGGTGCTGGTGAGGCTGCTGCTCTAGGTGCTAGTGAGTCTGCCCCCCCTGGTACTGAGTCGACTGAGGCACTGCACACCTTCACACTGGACTCAGGTGCTTCTCGCTGTTTCTTTCGTGACCGCACTACCCTTGAGAAGCTTGCTCGGCCAGTTGCTGTCTCTCTCGCTGACCCCTCTGGGGGTCCGGTCATTGCGACCTCCTCCACTGTCCTTCCTTGTCCTGCGGTCCCGTCGGGCACACTGTCAGGTCTCCACCTCCCCTCGTTCTCTACGAACTTGGTGGCAGGTTGTGCGCTCCAGGACGGGGGTGTTCACCAGTTCACCCCTGCCTACGAGCGCGTGACACACTGCACGTGTGCTCGGACGGGCCGTCACCTGGCTACCTTCACTCGGCAGCCGGGGTCGGACCTGTACACACTGACCACTGAGTCCCCTCAGGTAGCTGCGTCTGCGTCAGGTCAGCTGTCGGCCCCCTGCTCGTGTCGCTCTCTGGCGCACGAGACCGTCCTCTGGCACCACCGACTTGGTCACCCGTCCGTGCAGCGCCTTCGTGCCATGCACAAACGGTACCTTGTCTCTGGTCTTCCCAGGGTTCTCCCTCCCCTCCCACCCTCGCCTGCTCCTCCCTGTCTTCCCTGTGTCGAGGGGCGGCAGCGCGCCGCTCCTCACTCCTCCTCGTTTCCCCCGACGACTGCTCCCTTGCAGACGCTCCACATGGACGTGTGGGGCCCAGCCCGCGTCCGTGGTCAGGGTCAGGAGAGGTACTTCCTGATAGTTGTTGACGACTACTCGCGCTACACCACGGTCTTCCCCTTGCGCACCAAGGGTGAGGTCCCTGATGTTTTGATCCCTTGGATCCGCGCTTCTCGTCTCCAGCTCAGCGAGCGTTTCCACTCGGACTTTCCTGTCCTGCGCTTGCACTCTGACAGAGGTGGTGAGTTCTCCTCCGACCTCTTGGCAGCCTACTGTGCGGAGCACGGCATTCGCCAGTCGTTCACGCTTCCGGCCTCTCCACAGCAGAATGGGGTTGCTGAGCGCCGCATTGGCTTGGTCATGGAGGTCGCTCGTACCTCCTTGATCCATGCGGCTGCCCCCCACTTTCTGTGGCCGTTTGCGGTCCGCTACGCTGCGCATCAGCTCAACCTCTGGCCCCGTGTCTCCGTTCCGGAGACTTCGCCGACACTGCGTTGGACGGGAGAGGTTGGCGATGCGTCACGCTTTCGGGTCTGGGGATCTCGAGCTTTTGTCCGCGATACGTCTGCGGACAAGCTCTCCTCCCGCGCTGTTCCTTGTGTCTTCCTTGGCTTTGTCCCGGACGCGTCTGGTTGGCAGTTTTACCACCCCACCTCGCGCAGTGTCCTGCCTTCTCAGGACGTCACGTTCGACGAGTCCGTCCCCTACTACCGCCTCTTCCCCTACCGCACTGCCCCGCTTCCCCCCCCGCCTCTCTTCCTCGCGCCAGGTGCTGCTGTGGTAGACCCCCTCCCCCCTCAGGGTGCCGCTCCCTCAGGTGTGTCCCAGGTAGACCCGGTTGAGCCTGTCGAGGTAGCTGTCGACTCTCGTCCTGCTGAGGGTGCTGAGCCTGAGCGTGCGGAGCCTGGGGGTGCGGAGCCTGGGGGTGCGGAGTCTGGGGGTGCTGAGCCTGGGGGTGCGGAGCCTGCGGGTGCTGAGTCTGGGGGTGCTGAGTCTGGAGGTGCTGCGCCTGGGAGTGCTACACCTGGAGGAGCTCTCTCCTCACAGCAGCTGCGTGAGTGGTACTTACAGTACTGCAGCCTCAGGAGAGGTGCTTCTGGAGCTAGGAGTACTGCTGGAGCTGGGGCTAGTGCTTCCCCTCCTAGGCGGGAGCTACCCTCTCCCCAGCGGCTCCGAGAGTGGTACGCACGGCGCTGCAGTCTCCGGAGTGGCGCTCCTAGTGTCGCGGACCCTGGAGCTGGAGGTGCTGCTGCTGCTGGCGGTGCTGCTGGTGCTAGTGGAGGTGCTGCTGGTGCTGGAGCTGCTGGAGGTGCTGCTGCTGGCGGTGCTGTTGGCGCTGCTGGAGGTACTGCTGGTGCTGGAGCTGCTGGAGCTGCTGGAGGTGCTGCTGCTATTGGTGGTGCTGCTGGTGCTGCTGGAGTTGCTGGAGGTGCTGCTGGTGCTGTTGCTGTTGGAGCTGCTGGAGGTACTGCTACTCCTGGAGGTGCTGCTGGTGCTGCGGACCCTGGAGTTGGAGCTGCGGCTGGTGCTGCGGACCCGGGCGTTGGAGCTGCTGCTGGTGCTGCGGACCCTGGAGTTGGAGCTGCTGCTGGTGCTGCGGACCCTGGAGTTGGAGCTGCTGCTGGTGCTGAGGACCCTGGAGTTGGTGCTGCTGCTGGTGCTGACGACCCTGGCGCTGGTGTCTCTGCTGGTTCTGGAGACGCTGCGCGGCCGCGGCCGTACTTCGTTCCGCTCCTTCAGCAGGTTCTTGGTCAGCCTCCTCCTCCTTGTCCTCCTCCCTCCTTAGAGTGTCCTCCGTCTGTCCAGTCGCAGTCACAGTTACCGTCTGCCTCCCCTCTCCCTGGTCCTTCTCCTTACACTGGTCCGACTGGAGGTCTTACGGAGCGTCGTGAGCCTGAGTCTCGTCCTGCGTCGCCCGAGTCTCGTCGAGCGTCGCCTGTTCGTGCTGCTCACACTGG